TGTATTTTCTAAGATCACATGGGAATTTTAAACAGAATAATGCTGAAGGAGCTAATAATATTTGAAAACTCTGCACTTTTAATGCTTTCTTGCAGCCAAAAGTACTTATTGCTCCCTTCAAGAATTTAATTAGCCCAGAATTACCTCTATACAGATAAGACATAGTCATATTATGCTATAAAAATGAGCTCTATATTGTTGATGGTTAAGAAAACATTAAATTAAAGGAGGAAAAAGCAACACATTCATGGTAACTTAATATTGTGTTGTTTTAGGATGTTTTTTCACCATTTCTGTGCATGTTTTATGCAAGTGAAAGGAAAGAAGTGGTCAGGGGACAATTAAAAAAAAGATCAGAAGGAAAAGTTAGCAAATTTGGGATTTGCTAACTAAATTTGTGATTTGCTAACTGGGGTTTGAGATAAACTTTAAAAATCAGTATTGGAAGTGAGCATATGTGCTACAATTAGACAGAAGAAGTCTGGGGCATTTTTCCCCTGTGTGAATATTGCGTCTGCTTCTGATTATGTCAGTTCTAAACCTCCAAGCTAACTGCTCTTTATGGATTGTCTCTTCTTGGCAAGGCTGAAAGGAAAAATTCTGCTCCCTGAAAAAAAAAAAAGGATTGGTGTTTCTCTAGGCCATTTTAGTGTATTTACTGTATTTTAATTTTGTTTTTTTTACCACACTTACTAATTAATTGTTTTTTAAAACTTCTGTATTGCACTTTTTAAAATCAATTAAGTTAAGAATAATGTTAATAATAATAATAATAATAATAATAATAATCTTCACTTCACTTTATTTCTTAATTAGTCACTCTCCACCAAGGTGCTCCGAGCGACTTACAATCTAAAATAGCATTTACACAGTATAAAAACATTCAACATAAAAACATTCTACAGTGACTATTTGGCAAATTAGATCTGATTACTTAAATGCACAACCAAACAGCCAAGTCTTGAGTGCCTTTACAAAAGGTTGCAACTCCGACATTGCTCTAATGTATGGAGGCAATGAGTTCCACAGAATTGGAGCATAGGTCGAAAAAGCTCTACGCCTTGTAGCTTCCAGGTGTACCTCCCTAGGGCCCGGTATATATAGGAGATTTTCCTGGGTGGATTGAGGTGACCACTGATGGAGAAAAGGAATGAGGCGTCCCTAAGATATAAAGGTCCTTGGCCATTTTGAGCTCTAAATGTCAGGATCAGTATCTTGTAAGAGATCCGATGTTCTATTGGTAGCCAATGCAGTTGTTGCAGAATCGGTGTAATATGGGATCTTATAGATGATCCAGCTAGCAGCCTGGCCGCTGCATTTTGGACCATCCGAATCTTCTGGGTTGTTGTCTTTGGAAGGCCAGCATATAAGGCGTTGCAATAGTCCAACCTCGTGGTGACTGTTGCGTGGATTACTGTTGCCAGTGCTTCTACCGAAAGGTAGGATGCCAATTTCCTTGCTTGTCGAAGATGAATAAAGGCCTGCTTACTTATGGCAGTTATTTGGGCCTCCATCATCAGTGATGAGTCCAACACAACCCCAAGTCTTTTAACAGTAATAATAATAATAATAGTAACAATAATAAGCAAATATCTGGTAGTGTGGTATAATTAGCTTCCCTTTACTGCCTTGCATTTTGGGGGTTATCTGTAGGGACATGTGCATGATGCCACCTCTCTTAATTCTACATACTTTCCACACAAGTATGACCTTCTCAGTGAAATCGTTGAAATAACCCCCAACCTATCATGAACAACCCACAATGTATAAATGGTAGAAACAATAGTTGTGGCGGCTTTAATGCGAGGGTGTCAGTGACTCAGCTCTGGATTTTAATCCACAGTTCAAAGGAGATATCCCAATGGCTGGCCACTATTGCCAAAATAGGTTCAGTATTTTGTTTAGTTCAGAGTCTTTAATCTTTAGTCTGAAACTCAGAATGGATTCATTATCACATGTACAGCATCGTGTTCCATATTTGGTGGGTTTGGAGACAAAAGTGAAAAACTTCTTAGTTAAAAAGACCTCACAACCTCTAAGGATGCCTGCCATAGATGCAGGTGAAACGTCAGGAGAGAATGCTTCTGGAACATGGCCATGCAGCCCAAAAAAGCTACAACAACCCAGTAAAAAAGAAAAGAAAACATTGTATTTTATCAAAAAAAAACCCTCTCTCTAGAAATCTACATCAGTGTTTCTCAAGCTGTGTTCTTCCACAGCAGTGTTTCTGGAAGATGTTTTGGACTACATCTTCCAGAAATCCCAGGCAATTTACCAACTGTTAGAAATTGTGGGAGCTGAAGTCCAAAATATCTGGAGGAGCACAGTTAGAAAATGTCTGCCTCAGCATGACTTTATAGTCATTTACTTTATTGCTGTTGTGGCTTATGTAATTTTAATGTTTTAAATTGTATTATGATATTATGTATATTGTTTTGTTGGAAACCGCCTTGAGTCGCCGATAGGCCGAGAAAGGCGGTATACAAATACAGTAAACAAATAATAATAAATAAATAGTCAGCTTTTCTTGAAAGTTTACCACGGAATCTCATTGAAAGAACAAGACATTCCTAGGAAGGTGTTCTATCTAAAACATCGCTAGGTGTGTTTATCACAGAATTGCACTGGAGAACCTAACAATTCATAGGAGAACATTTTAAATCAAATTTGTGAATAATCATATCCAAAACCTGGAAAGATGGAGGGCTAGTTGTACAAGGACACACCAGTTGCCATTGTTTTTCTGTCTTATATTTCTGTTTCAGCAAGTATTCAAGTATATTTCCATATTCCATCCAAGGGGTAGCAAAGATCTAAAATCCAACATACATATAGAAGACTGAGACATTAGGGCAGAGACTTGCTTCTTAATGACTAATTCATAGTATGTAGCTGTTCTCTGTGTTTGAGATTGTCATGTTGGGAAAATGTTGCCTGGAAGACAAACCAAGGACTCAAGTTGTTGGGATTAAGATGCTATGTAACTGGATAACTGAGAACTGGATTCACCTCCCCAGTAACATGGATCCACCAGGCCTCATTGTCCAAATCCCCCAAATATCTGGGATGAATACATTAGCACAGGACTATTTTAAATTCTTGATCACTTCCGCAATATTACTTTGAAGTAAAATCTTACTAAGCAGATTTTGCACTTTTAAGAGTAACATATTATACTCCAAGGATAAATGATAGGCAGTTTCTTTCAAGAAAATGTGGAACTGCCTGATAGAATTTTAAAGTTTTTTATATAGAGGATATTTCTTTCAATAATATAGCATTCTCTCTACAGGGTTTCACTGTTCTTCCAAGCTGTGCCAATAAAACCCTATTTGAGGCAAAAATGAAGACTCATACATATTTAAATACAGTGTCTTTTCATTGTTTATATTTACACCATGATGTTAGGAAAGTTAATTGTATCTCTGGGGTGACACAATTTTATTTACCAACTTCGTAAATAAATAAAAAACACAACTTTTTAGTACAAATGATGTAGCTTTGGCAAAAGAGGGATTAAGTGAAGTTTTAACATTAGATAATTAACCTACAGTCCTTGTCAGCTAATTATTTTGTGTTTAAATGGATGAATATATGTATGCAAACTTCAGAAAATTGAAAAAGTAGGCAGATGGTACCAATACAAGAAGGTAAAAAAGAATTCAAAATTACTAAAGCAATTTATATAATTTTAAAATCATATTAAAAATTTAAGAACAGTTCTGTGTTTGAGTTATTTTGTGATTGTGGAAGAAACTACAATATTTTGCAAGATCATGTGTTCTACTACCATATTTTAATGTTTACTAGATTGCTTATTGACCACAAGAGTCCCCAATCTGGTTTGATAAAAGTAAATTATAAATGTGATAAAATAATGTGTAGTTCCATAATGATGGATTCTATAGAGATGTTGAAATTAATTTTTTCATGACTTCTTTTTCTTTATTTTATACTAGCCATGGCCCAGTCTGTTTATATGTGTTTTGTGTTTCTATATATGTGTATATGTGTTTATATGTGTGTATATATATATATGGTTTTGTGCATGCGTTGTAATGTATTCTTTGGCTTTTTGCTTTTAAAGTCTCTTCTGCTGTGTTTTTCACTGTTTTTACGAGTGATGGTCACTCGTTGGCCTGATAGGTGTATTGTGTCCAAATTTGGTGTCAATTCGCCCAGTGGTTTTTGAGTTATATTAATCCCACAAATGAACATTACATTTTTATTTATATAGATAGATTTTACCTGTATTGTTATATTTCTAGGTTGCTTTTTCAAAGTCTCATTTAAAAAGACAACCATAACAGCAGTAAAATAGTAAAACTATCCATGGCCATTCAGTTTTCCTATACATAGCAGGTCCTGAAAGCTTTTGAAGGGGACAACTGAGGATTTTTTTTTTAAAAAAAGAGAGAACATTTGCCTGGGAAAAGGTCACAGAAACCCAGTTATTCCAATGTCAGTTCTTGAACTATTGAATAAATAAATCAGTGTAAATCAGTATGTTTCCTATTTATTCCACAGCAACTTGGTAACTCCAGGTCAAAATGTGGGGTGTTTGTGAATCATCTACTTGGATAGAATCGACATGAACAGTATTGACTACAGCAAATCAGAATTTTTGGAAGGATCGTCTATTGATTAGGAGAACAAACAGAACCATTTGATGAAGCACGAACAAACAAATCCCAGTGTTGGAAAAAGAAGGCTCTTCTTTACAATATCTAACAAAACTAACATGTGATATACTGTTGAAGCTAACAAGGAGCCAATCACAGTGTTTGACATCACTAACTGAGGACTTTCTGAAATTACTGTTGGTTGTGAAACATAATAGAACTGCTCTGATTCTTCCAATAATTCATCTTAGCTGTGAGCAAGCATTACATGACATTAAGGAAGTATTTAGCAAATACCTATTTTAAACCAGGAAGTGATTACAAGTTTTATCAACAGCATATTAGTGCCAAGATTATAACAGAATGTTCATCTTCCAGGCCAGGCTCAGATAACAGACGTCACAATGGCAGGGAGCGAATGGCCAGTACCAGTGAGAAGGGAAGTTTGCCCATGGAATCTACCAAGGAGACCCGCTACTGTGCCGTGTGCAATGACTACGCTTCAGGTTACCATTATGGTGTTTGGTCCTGTGAGGGTTGCAAAGCCTTCTTCAAAAGAAGTATTCAAGGTAATAATATTGCTGACAACCATTGATCGCCTCAGTACTTTTGTGTTGGTACTGTTGTTGTTATAGCCATTTTGATACTCTGTGATCTAAGGGTGGGTTTAAAACACTTGCACATGAATTAAATGGCTAAGAAGCTGTCTCTATTGATTGTGAATTATGATGATGATGTTGACGACAACAACGATTATGATAGCATATTTCTTACCTAACTTTCCCATGGCTCAAGGTAGGGCACAACATTATTAAAAACAAATAAAAACATCCACATGAAATACACACATTAAAACAAATTTCTATAAAATACGCATACAGTGATATCTTGACTTAAGAGTTTAATTCGTTCTGTGACTATACAGTACTCATTCTAGCCTCCTCCCCTCTCTTGCTCTCCCCCCTCTCTCTTCATGAAGCCAAACATACTAGGAATAAAACCCACACAAAATCAACTAACCTAAAGTTCCTCAAAGCAGACAACAATCTTGCAAAGTGGACAAGAGCATGAAACATGAAGGCTTCTCCCTTAAAGCCCTAAAGCCTTGTACTCTCCCACTAGCACTGCTTCTCATGCTAGCTCTTAACTCAAAATGCTGCTCTTATGTCAAAGTGAAACCAGCTCTTAACTAAAAGCACTCTTCAGTTGGTACACTTTTAAGTAAAGGTTCCACTGTATTAAAAAACACAAAGATTAAAATACAATAAATCCAGGATGTGATTTCAAAATTCATTGTTAAAAATTGAGTGCGTAGGCCTGCCAGAACAGATGTCTTCAGTTGTGTTTTCAATTCTGACAGCTCATTTAGTGTCAGAACTCTTCCAGCAGGACATTCTACAATCTTGGGGTGGCCAATGAAAAGGACTTCTGGATGACGGTTGCCAATCAGGTTCAGGTTGGCTGGAGTACTAGCCACCCCCAGAGGATCAACACCAGAGGATCTAAGTATTCGGGGAGGGTTGTATGGGAGAAAAAGATCCTGTACGTAATTTGAACCCAAATCATGTAAGGCTTTAAAGGTTAAAACCAACTAATTGGCAGCCAGTGCAATAACATTACTATAGGTGAAATATGCTCACTCCTAGATGTTCCTATAAGTAGTTTGGAGCTGTGTTTTGAACTAGTTGGAGCTTCTCAACTTGGTACAAAGGTAGCCCAATGTTGGTCAATCTTGAGATTACCAGTGCATGCACTACCATCTTTAGGTCCTCCAAATCTTGGAAGGGATGCAGCTAGCATATCAGCCAAAGCTAGTAGTAAACACTCCTGCCCATCACATCTATCTGGGCTGACATTTGGAGAGGGAGATCCAGGAGCACTCTCATGCTGATTACACAGTCTTCCAGGGTCAGTGTAACCTCATCCAGAATTGGTTGATACACCTCCACCCACAGATTAGGACCCTTGATGGCAAGCACCTCTGTCCTGTCTTGATTCAGTTTCTATTTGTTTTTCTTCATCCAGGCATTCATTCAGGGAAGACATACTATCCATAGCTGAGGCTGTTTTGAAGGCATGGAGAAATTTATTTGTGTGTCATCAGCATACTGATAGTACCTTGCCCCATGCCTCCAGGTGATTTCTCATAGTGGTTTCATGTAAATATTAAAAAGCATTGAGGATAAAACTGTCGTTTTTCAAACTCTCCCCTCTAAGCTCCTCCCACTTCTCTCTCTAGCCTACATCGTCTCCATGGCAACGCACTCCTCTGACTTAGGCCGCTCCAGCATTACTGCAGCCAATCTAAACACAAATACAGTTAAAATCATACAATTTATAATCAACTCCTGTACACTTGTGAAGGAAGTTGGGCTCCAAGTGAGTTACAAGGAGGAGGAAAGGAAACCCCCAGACATCATGAAGATCCTTGAGTTACTGCTGTAGTGACGTGGAGAGAAGGGGTGGGAAGGAACAGCTGGAGTGACATTTGTAGTTGTTACTACTTAGTGGGTGGACCTATCTCTGTCAGAAAGAATCTTATCATAAGTAAGCTTACAAATTCCTAGTCACATATGCTGTGTATTAGGGCTCGGCAACCACGGAAAAATTTGTTTCTAAACTCGATTCATTTTTTGGGGTTGTTTGCGTTTCGATATTTAAAAGAATTCCGAAATGTTTCTTTAAAAAAGTTCGATATTTACGAAATTTCGTAAAATTACGAAACGAATACGAAACGAATACGAAACGAATACGAATCGATTCGTTAATGGCGGTCGCGACCGCGCAATACGCTAAAAAACCTCCATATGGGACAGGGGGAACTTCTGAAGCTTCCCTCTCCCTCTGTTGTTGACTGTTGGTGTGATATTTATAATTTTTTTTCACTGATTAAACAAACAACAGCTATAAAACTTGCCCCAGACATGTGGAAATAATAACGAAACAATTTTGAAACGATTTCGAAACGAATACGAAATGAATACGAAGCAATTACAAAACGAATTGAAAAATTCGTTTCGTTTTTTAGATGCTCCTGAATGGTTCGTTATAGCTTCGTAACAAAAAATAACGAATTTTTAACGAATTATGAAATTACGAAACGAAACCGCCCAGCCCTACTGTGTATACAATATATAAGCCAACCACATATATGTCAAGGGCAGGCCTATAGGCTGAAATTATGAATTTTGATATAACCTAAGGATAAACTGAGGGCCATTCCATGGAGAAAGGAAAGTACAGGCAGTCCACGAGTTGCAGGCATTCAATTTACAGATGATTCATAGCTAAGAAAACTTTGTATCTAGAAAAAGAGCAAGCAATCATAGTGTCAGTTTGAGGAAAATGGGATGTGTGCACATATTGCAAATAGTCTTTCAGACTATTCATATTCTCCGGAAAAATATCTGCTTTGAAGCTATTAAAAATCAACATAATTAAATATTGAGTTAACATTTTGTAACACTGAATTCAGTGGTGGTACATTAAATACCACAAGCTGTACAAAAACAGTTCATCTCGGTACAGGCAGTCCCCAAGTTACAAACATCTGACTTGCAAATAACTCAGAGTTAAGAATGGGTCTGAGACAACAGGAAGTTAGAGGAAATCTATTTCTAGGAAGGTAAATTCACTCTTGTGAGAGTTACCATGGGAAAAGGTGTCTCAATCGAAGCTTTATCACCAATTATTGTTTCTACAGCAAATCAAAATATTCAAAATCCTATTGTCACAGGGACAGAAAGTGAGGTGAAATCTTCTGAACAGAGGCACAGACAGCAAAAGAAACATGACAGGGGGTGTTAACCCTTCCCAATGCAATCCAAAATGTAAAACAACAACAACATATTTTTGATTGGAGTTACATTTTAAAAATGTACCTGTTTTAGCTTTCATATAAATTCAACTTAAGAACAAACCCACAGAACCTATCTTGCCCATAACCTGGGGGCTGCCTGTACCAATACTGGCTCAGAGGGCCATATGTCATTGGCAGCCACTGTAGTTTCTCTGCCCAAGCATTCAGAAAGGACAGAAGTGGTGCTATGATGGAGAGAATATAGTGTCTTGGTGCTTTTTTATGTTCTTGCCTTTTGCCAATTTCCTCAGAAAATTTATTTATTTATAGCATTTCTACCCGGCCTTTCTCTACCCCAGAGGGGACTCAAGGCGGCTTACAAGTAGGCAACCATATGAAGCCATAAGATATGTACAATTACAACTATATAGAGTTATAAAATACATTAAAACAGTTTAAAAGCATATAAAACAATACATTAATAGTTAATCACATCATCTGGATGTAGTCTGGCCGTTCCAGTTAGTCAGTGCACATCAATTCCATATCTTTTTATTTCTCAAGTTCTCCAAACACTTGTTTACAAAGCCAGGTTGAATGAGATGGTTCTTTTTTTTATTTCTGTAGCCTTTGAAGTATAGTGAACATATGGGGATGGACCCCCATGACAACTTGATGTGATCACACACAATTGTCTGCATTGGCCTTTGTCAAACACTGGAATCAGTGCCAACATTTAACAGTGCAAATTTGGCAGACTGTAAAGTGAAGTGTAATTTAACTCCTCTTCTGTCTGGGCAGCTCTTAACATCAGTACATTGAGGACTTACACTGAGCCAAGACAAAAATTATTCAGGCTTCATTATACTGCTGCAGCTCTTGAGTTCAGAGAAGCAATTGCATATACAACCAACACAAAAGCAAATCAACTTTTCCCATATCCCTTTAGTACATTTAAGAGCTGAACAATTTGAAGTGCAGCAAAAGAATTTGGAATGAATATTTCATGAGGTTTCTTAATTTCCAATGTAGGGATTTTCTTTGCAGTCTACAGTTTTACCCATCACCGCTTCCAAATGTCAGGTTTGTGGCTGCAAGATGTTACTCCCATTACGTTGAGTAATCTTCCTTGCATGAAATCGGGGAATCTTGCTAAACAAACCATTATGTTATTTTTATGTAGCAAACTGATATACAGTTTTATTATACTTCAAAATGAATAGTACTCTTCTTTCTTCCACTCTTATTCCAACAAGAGATGAGGCGAGTCCTTCCTGCCCTCTAGGGATCTCTGGAAATTTTCCTATCTCTCTCTCTCTCTCTTGGTTCTGAAGGAGGGTCAGAAGATCAGAGACAAGTAACAACCACCACTTGACCATGTATACAAAGTTACATCACTGCACATTGTCCCAACTCTTGGGTGGAATTCTTGATCTTCCTAGAGTGTTGAAAAAAGAGAGAAGAAAACCAGAAAAATTAAACAATAACATATGCTTTATGCAAATCTGAACAACAACATGATCAACAGAACTGACAAAAGGAAGAAAAAATATGTCCAAATCAGGAAACCGAAATATGGTGGAATTTTAGGGATATAGAGGGAACATCTGAAATCCATCTAAGGGGGAGATCTGTGTGTCTGTGACATTAAGAAGCTGAAAGACAGCCTGATGTATACTTCTTGAGGTGCTTTAATTCAAAAGGCATATGTTTAAACAAAAGCCCTCTTTGTTTACCAAAAGAAACAATTGCAGGCACACAGACTACTGA